ACAACATGTCTGGAAACTCTTCTACATAACAAGTCTGGAAACTCTTTAATTCTAAATTTTTACATGACATGTTTAAGACCAGACAACAAGATTAAAGAACATTTCGATACCTCCTACATATCTTTAGTTTAAGACATTTACTTTCTTGAATTCCGTGTCAAGTCAAAACCAAACAAACAAACTGAAACCGATCGAGGGAGTATTTGATTCTTGCTGTTTTTCATTCCTCTGTTTTCATCTTGTTTGTACAAAAATCAAGAATCATAATTATCACTTTCAGTTTTTCCACTAATACTAGTGAAACTTTATGTATAAACAAACATCTACATAGTACTTCCAAATTTTCGACTTAATTCATATCACAATGCACAAAACTTGTGATCTTAAACGTGACATTTCCATGCTACAACAACATGTCATTACTAAAGAGTAAAATTGAAAATTTAAAGTCGGATTTTTTTTCTTCAAAAACACAGAAAGGTATCATTCTATTATACTACACCAACAAGCATCTACATACTTAACATCCAAATTTTTCACTTCATACAATGAAGCATAGAGCTTACACAGAACTCGTGGTCTTAAACATGCCATGTCAATTTTTATGCTACAACAATGTCATCAATGACAACAACATATATCAGAGAAGGTAGCGTGTATGCAAACATTACTTGACATATACATAGGTTATTTTCAATAGACTATAATTTTTGTTTCTATCAAAAAAGAAAGTCTCATAATCAATTGTTTCAATACGAAAATCCAAAACATAAGTAAACATAAACCAAATATGTTTTCTTAATCAAAATATCACCAAATGAAAAAGAGAAAAAAAAAACAAAAACCTTAAAGAGGGAATGCTCCAAAACAAGCTTTTCATTCTTATTATGATTTATTTAAATGAATATAAGAGCACAAAATATTTCTTATTTTTTCCCTTGTATTAGATTAGAGCTTATAAGAGATGCACAAAATCAAGAAAGCTTGTGGGTGTGTGCCACGTGTCCAAATTTTTGTATAGAAGAGTGGAATGAATACCTAGTACTTTGGTTTTTTTTTTTTCTAAGTGTCATCATGGTGTAATATGTTGTGTCAGACTAATCATCAAAACACTGCAAAATGATGCCTAGAGGATAAGGATATATTATCTTAGAGGATACACTTTAAATCGAGTATTTGACATAATTTCAATGCTTTCAAATTCAGATATATGAAATTGTGAAATGATTTACTTCTCAATTTTCTAAATATTAAGAATTCAAACTCAAACACTTTTAATTAAAGATGAAAGACTATTACTCTCCCATTATAACGTTTAGTTGTAGGTGAAATTGGTTATTAAGAAACACTCTTAATATTATGTGTCTTAACGGGCCTAAATTTCTTTTTTTTTTTCTTAGTAAAATCTAAAGAGAATCTAAAAGCCTTTGTACTTTCAACATTAGATTCCATACTGTCGAAGTCAGTACACATACTTTCTTGTTGTACACTTTACCCCCCAACAAAATGATTAATATCAAATTCACATCCCAAAACCCTAAACACCTTTAATTTTTCAAAACCCTAATCCCTTTTCTTTTCTTTTTTTTCAAAATTTTCTTCAATTCCCTTTAGGACAGTCAAACCCTACCTACCCTAAAAACCCCACACCCCCTTTCTACTTCTCTTTCCAGAAAGTTTTGATTTTGGGATTTTGGGATTTCTTGAACTCTCTGTTTCTTTTTGTCTTTGCATTTTTTGGGTTGTTTTGATTTAGGGGGAGTAAAAATGGAGGTTAGTTTGAGGTCTGATGTAGCTGTTTTTGGAAGAATGGTGGTGGGGTCTGTTCTTGAAGCTGTAGTTGCTGAGACCCTTTTGGCTGCTCAGAGATCTGTTGCTTCTTTGCTCATTGTGGTATAACACACTTATCTTTTAACTTACACTTTTATTATTTTCTTGAAAAAGTTGTGATTTTTAGTTGTGGGGTTTAGATTTCTTGCTCTGTTTTCTGCTTATGTAGTTGTTCGAACAGTTCTTGTGTCAAATTTCATTGATTCTTGCTAGTAGAGTAGTTAAAGCTGGGAAATTTACTGTGCTGCATTAGGTTTAGTGTAATTGGAAACAGCCTCTCTGCATTAGGTAAGGTTTGTGTACACACTATCCTCCCAGGCCCCACTTGTGGGATTGCAAAGGGTATGTTGTTGTTGTTGTATGTTTAGTGTATTTTTCCCCAAGCTGCTAACTTTAGGTATTGTATGTTAATAAGTTGTATTCTTGTACCCTTCGGGGTGGCTCAGTGGTTTGGGCTTGGGACTTCATGTTGGAGGTCTCAAGTTCGAAACCCCTAGCCAGCGAAAGCAAGGGGTTTGCCTTTTGGGTCGAGCTCGTCGCACCAGGCTTGCCTAGTGCGGGTTACCTCTCCTATGTGGTTTGCGAGCTATTGCATAGGAGCAGGGGTTTTACCCTGTGCGCATCCACGGGTTTTCCTTGCCATCAAAAAAAAAATAAGTTGTATTCTTGTTGAACGAATTGTAGAGAAGAGCTTTATTTATATTGTTTTGCTCTCTTGCTCACTGTGGTATTTCATACTTTTCCAACTTACACTCTTGTTATTTTCTTGAAAAAGTTGTGATTTTTATGGTTGGTTTTGGACTTTTTGCTATGTTTTCAGCGTTTGTAGTTGTTTGAACAGTTCTGTTCTAGAATTTCGTTGCTTGAGGCAGTTAAAGCTTGGAAATTTTCTGTGTTTCATTAGGTTTCTTGCTTTAAGTTTTAACTGCAAGTAATTGTTCTCCAAGCTTTTAACTTTTGGTATTGTATGTTTATTACTTATGTTTTTAATGATGGGTTTTGGATTTGTTGCTATGTTTAAATAGCTATTCCGTTAAATTTCGTTGTTTCTTGCTAATGTGGTAGTTAAAGGTCGGAAGTTTTCTGTGCTGCATTAGGTTTCTTGTTTAAAAGTTAGTAATTATTCTCCAAGCGGCTGACTTTTGGTATTGTTATATTTACAAGTTATGTTCTTTTGAAATAATTGTGGAGTAAAGAGCTCTGTTACTTCCTTTTCTTCTTTTGCTTCTTTGCTCATTGGTGTATACCTTAAACTTCCAACTTCTGCTCTTTATTTTCTTGAAAGTTGTGATATTTAATGGTGGGTTTTGGATATCTTCCTCTGTTTTCTGCTTCTGTAGTTGTTTGAACTGTCTTGTGTAAAATTTCCTTGCTTCTTGCTTATGGGTAGTTGAAGCTCGGAAATTTTCTGTGGATGTGGAATAAATGTCCATTTTCTATGCTGTTCAAACTCTCTAAAAATGTCAATAGGTGCGAGTCCAATTCTCCAAAAGTAGTGTATTTTGGAGAATCCGACACTGGTGCAGCATCAGAAGTGAAAAGACCTATTTTGGATATATGAAATATATGGGCATAATAACAACTACTAAAGAGTGAGACAAATGGTCGTAGGAGAAACGATAAGAAAATATAATGGTATTTGATAAGTGCTCTTCCTTGAAAAAATTGCGTAAAAGTTTCTTGTTTGGGCAGATATTGCCAATTTTTGTGTCCTTTGGGGAAAAACTCAATTATCCGTAAATTGCAGGAAACTTAAAATTCAAAGATCAAATTCTCTTTTTGCTTCCTTATAAGCATAATGAAATTGTTAGATAGCACTTGATGCAAAAGCTGGTTGTGCTTAGTCAGTTTAGTTGCGCAACTTTCCGTTGTGCCTTTGATCGAACTTTACAATTACGACCTAGAAACTTCTTGTTCCTCATGTTCTCTCGTAATAGTTCCCTTATCAAAGTTTGTTATGCTTCAGGCAGGAATTATGCTGAAGGATGCTGATGCATTGCCAGACTTGATAGGCACTGATAAAAGGTACTATTTGTCATCTTAGCCATACTCATAGCATTCAGAACCGCAAAATTTCATGTGACGAACACCAAAATTTGATGTCATTTTTAGGTTTCCATTCGAGGAGCTTCATAAAATGGACAAAGCTGGACCTGAGAACAAAGATGGTAGCGACACAGAGGACGATGATGAAGATGATGATGGAGAAGCTGATGATCAGGATGACGATGATGCTGATGATGAAGACTTTGCAGCCGAAGGAGGAGATGATGATGATGAAGAAGAAGCAGATCCTGAAGACAATCCAGCATCTAATGGCAACGAAGGCAGCGATGACGAAGACGATGATGATGATGAAGACGATGAGGACGGGGATGATGATGATGAAGAGGAAGACGATGAAGAAGAGGAGGAAGAGGAGGATCAACCACCTGCCAAGAAGAAAAAATAAACCATTTCCTTGTTATGTTTATTCTGTTTTTCTTCCATGCTTGTTGGAGTATGTAGTAGTAGTAGGAAGAGGGGGGATTTTAGCTCTTTCTGTTGGAATTAATCATCCTTTTGCAGACCAAATGAACTTCTTGTCACCCTATTTGACTGTTAGTTATGATATATATTCCATTTAACCCTATGAATACTCTTTTAACTTTCATGCCTCTTTACCTCCGTAAGGGTAAGGTCTGCGTACACACTACCCTTTCCAAGTCAACCTGTTGAAATTTTGTAGTTCTTGGTTTCTATTTTAAACATTATATGCTTAGCTACTGAAAGGGTGTATGGCATGCAGACATTCACTCTGATTTTCAAAATGTTTTGACTTTCGTATTTTGTATTTCATCATTCATGCTTATTCAACACTCTGATAGTGTAAAAATCCTTTATATTGTCGGTATACAAAACATAAAAGACAAGCAAAAGTTTATTCAATCGACAAACGGAACACCTAACAAGAACCTCCAATTGCATTTTTGTCCTCAATGACATTTGACACTCCGACAGTATAAAAGTAAAAGTTCTTTATATCGTTGATGTACATAACACAAAAATAAAAGTTTATTCAATCAACAAAACACCTAAAAAAAACCTCCAAATTGCATTTTAGCATCATAACAAAGTAAAAACAGCAAAAAAAAACAAAAAAAAACCAAGAACACCCCCCCCCCCTTCATAAAATGGACAAAGCTGGACCTGAGAACAAAGATGGTAGCGACACAGAGGACGATGATGAAGATGATGATGGAGAAGCTGATGATCAGGATGACGATGATGCTGATGATGAAGACTTTGCAGCCGAAGGAGGAGATGATGATGATGAAGAAGAAGCAGATCCTGAAGACAATCCAGCATCTAATGGCAACGAAGGCAGCGATGACGAAGACGATGATGATGATGAAGACGATGAGGACGGGGATGATGATGATGAAGAGGAAGACGATGAAGAAGAGGAGGAAGAGGAGGATCAACCACCTGCCAAGAAGAAAAAATAAACCATTTCCTTGTTATGTTTATTCTGTTTTTCTTCCATGCTTGTTGGAGTATGTAGTAGTAGTAGGAAGAGGGGGGATTTTAGCTCTTTCTGTTGGAATTAATCATCCTTTTGCAGACCAAATGAACTTCTTGTCACCCTATTTGACTGTTAGTTATGATATATATTCCATTTAACCCTATGAATACTCTTTTAACTTTCATGCCTCTTTACCTCCGTAAGGGTAAGGTCTGCGTACACACTACCCTTTCCAAGTCAACCTGTTGAAATTTTGTAGTTCTTGGTTTCTATTTTAAACATTATATGCTTAGCTACTGAAAGGGTGTATGGCATGCAGACATTCACTCTGATTTTCAAAATGTTTTGACTTTCGTATTTTGTATTTCATCATTCATGCTTATTCAACACTCTGATAGTGTAAAAATCCTTTATATTGTCGGTATACAAAACATAAAAGACAAGCAAAAGTTTATTCAATCGACAAACGGAACACCTAACAAGAACCTCCAATTGCATTTTTGTCCTCAATGACATTTGACACTCCGACAGTATAAAAGTAAAAGTTCTTTATATCGTTGATGTACATAACACAAAAATAAAAGTTTATTCAATCAACAAAACACCTAAAAAAAACCTCCAAATTGCATTTTAGCATCATAACAAAGTAAAAACAGCAAAAAAAAACAAAAAAAAACCAAGAACACCCCCCCCCCGCACCCCCAACCCCAACCCCTTTATTCAACCAAGTACTCTCATTTTCATCTTCAAATTGCAGCCAATGGAGATGGCGAAGGAGCAGAAATGCTACAATAAAACACCAATATATCACCAAAACTTGGATCAAATGGGAAAAGTTTTTGCCAACATTTACTATCAATTCCATGAATTACTTCACAACATGGAGAATCAAGCCTTCCAATACCAAGAAATACTTTATAAATTCCATTTACACATTTATTTAACCTTTTAAGTGATGACCAACATTCAACATTTTCATCATCATTAGGACTTGGTGCCAAAATTGGATCAAGACTAGCCATGGCTACTAGTGAATTTGCCATGCTTAATATAATTAAAAATGCAAAAAACTTCAAATTTTTTGTTGCCATGACTAATTGAATTTGCTCTGATTTTTAAATATTTTTTGGATTTTGGATGATGTTTGGTGGATTTTTGTGTGGAATGTAAAGGTATTTATAGGGTGATATTGGTGTCATAAAGAATACATATTTTATTATGAAATGCATCTTTTTGGTCAGTTTTGAATCTCATTTATGGCTATTTATGCAAGAAATAAAAGTTAATTGTAAGAGTTTCATGACATTTAATCTCAAAACATGTTGAGCTTTTAACAAAAGTTTTAATGTTAATTTTAAAGGTATTTTTCTTATAGAATTTCGGTTCCCGATCCTTCTAATTTCTAGTTAATGGACTATATATAAAAACCCTCGGTGGCGGAATCAGGATTTTCAATAAGGGGTTCAAAATCTGAAAAAATATACACACGAAGTCGCAAAACAGAGTTTGACATCTACTATATATACCTAAAAAATTATTTTAACCATATATAAATAATATAATTTTCTATCGAAGGGTTCGAATAAACCCCCCTAATAATATAATCATTCTCTGTAAGTTGAATCTTTGTTATTTGGATAACATCATAGACATATTTTTTTTTTCCTTTACTATTTTTGAAGATATAATATCGAATTAAGTCAATGGTCAAAGACAAAGACATAACATTAATATTTATTCATTAACCAATTTAAAGTAATTACTATAGTTACAACCAAAAAAAAAAGGTAATCCCTTCCTAAAAAAGCAATAAATACAAATAACATCTTTTTAATATATAATCACTAAATGCCAACATTAAACAAAACAAAAATTAAACTGATATAACATTAATGCCACTATTTCTTATCAATTTTGCTCATAAAATTTACATATAAATACCACAAAAAAAAAAAATCATACTCACAATTCAAAATCAACAAAAAAACATCAGGTTCAAGTAAATTTTTTTCGATGACGAGCCCTAAAGCCTCATATTCAACTATGTTAATTTCTTTATTATCCATATCAATTGTGAATGCTCAATTTTTTGATGGATTATTACCTAATTTTGATGGATTATTGCCTAATTTTGGAGGATTAGGTCCTGATTCAATTACAACATGTTTAACATCAGTTAATGATGTTCCTAATTGTGTTGAAGAAATAATTACATCTTTTTTAAGTGTTCAACCCCATTTAATTGGTCCTCAATGTTGTGAAGCTGCATTAGATATTACTGATGAATGTTGGCCAATTTTTTTCCCATTTAATCCATTTTTTCCACAAGCTATTAGGAGTTTTTGTTCAAAATGAGGCTCAAATAATACCCCTCCATTGATCATGTAAAATAATTCTTTTACGTTGGAGAAAATAAGACGTATTGCTTGTTATAACAGGTTAAGATACGTTGATGGTGTAAATGTTTATTATACTAGTGTGGATGAGTTAGATCCAAGTAGAGTTAACCAAAAATATGTGCAAAAAGCAAAATATACATTTTACTAGCAAGTCAATAGGCATAAGAAAACGGTAAAACTTTACCTGCACCAAGACCTGATAATGTAAAAATTCTTTTTCACGTGTTGTATATGGATGTTAAACTCATAATTTTATTTATGCATTATCAATTTAAAGCCGCTCATGACAAGTTAAAAAAATATGCAATGTAAAGACCAACAAAATAACAACAAATAAAAGCTTACAAAATTTTCAACTTCTTTAAAAGTATATATATACTATATACTATATAAGATACATTTTACTCTTTAAGAAAAAGAAAGTTGGATTTTTCTAAACTCTTCATAAACATTTCGCTATCATCGCTAGTTCTCCACAGACCTACATCCTACCTATCGATGAACATGAAAAATGCTCGAAATAACGTAGGCAAAAGGAGTAAAAACATCACCAGACGAAAATTCGATGCAGTTGAGTTGCTTTTGTCTTAAAACATCTTGAAGAGCAGACCACCGTGGGTGGCGAAGAAAGGAGCGAAAACGAGTGACTCCACAGCCATCAGCTTGATAAGAATGTTCAATGATGGTCCAGATGTGTCCTTGAGGGGGTCACCAACAGTGTCACCAATGACAGCAGCCTTGTGTGGATCGGATCCCTTGGGACCAAGAGTTTTCGCGTGTTCTGAAGCTCCAGCCTAATATCCCATAAACGACACAAATAGACGAGTTATAAACAACGTTTCTCGAGATTCTTATAGGAACTGAATGTGAATGTATAAGGTCTAACTAATTGTATACCTCGATGTACTTCTTGGCATTGTCCCAAGCACCACCGGTGTTTGATGCAGAGATGGCAATCTACAAACCAAACATCATACGTGATTAGAGAGAGAGAAACCGTTTGAAGGTTTTTATACAGGTCATCAGAATAATTACCTGTACACCGGAGACGAGAGATCCTGCAAGCACACCGGACAGGGTTTCCACACCGAATAATATCCCTACAATCAATGGAGTAAGCATGACAAGGGCACCAGGTGGGATCATTTCTTTGATTGATGCATCGGTGGAGATCTTGACGCAGTTGGCATAATCAGGCTTTGCGGTTCCTTCCATGAGTCCAGGGATGGTGTTGAATTGCCTGCGCACTTCCTCAACCATCTTAAGGGCAGCACTTCCCACACTCTTCATTGTCATGGCAGAGAACCAGTAAGGAAGCATTGCACCGACAAGCAAGCCAATGAATACTTTAGGTGTCAAGACGTCTACAGTGGAAATTCCTGCACGGCTCACAAATGCACCAAAGAGGGCCAGAGATACAAGAGCAGCAGATCCAATGGCGAATCCCTGTTACCATAATAGAAAGCATGTTAACAAAGAGGCAATGGAGATTGGAGTGGGCCTTCTATTCTAACTAGACCTAACAACATTCCGTGAAGTGCAAGAGTATCTGTCTTACCTTTCCAATAGCAGCAGTGGTGTTTCCTGCAGCATCAAGGGCATCGGTTCTTTCTCTGATTCTGTGGCTCATCCCAGCCATCTCAGCAATGCCTCCTGCATTGTCACTGATGGGACCATAGGCGTCAATTGCCAAACCAGTAGCTATGGTGCTCAGCATTCCAAGAGCAGCGACTGCAATGCCGTACATTGCAGCAAAACTGAAGCTAACAAAAATGCTGATTGCTATGGCAAAAATTGGAATGATAACTGATTTGTAGCCCAGGGCAAGGCCAAAAATAATATTGGTGGCAGCACCAGTGCGGCAAGAATCAGCAACGTCTTGCACAGGGCTGGAAACAAATGAAACAAAAATTACATTTTTGATAGGCAAGAATCAAATAAGCACCAAAATAGAACAGCTAGAGACCCAAGTCTACCTGTAAGCATTGCTGGTATAGTACTCGGTAACAAATCCAATGATAAGTCCAGCCCACAGACCAACTCCAACGCATAAGAACAACTGCCTGCAAGTTCAAATTTGCATGCCAGTTAGCCTTTGATAAATGTTAGTGAGAGACTGAAAGGAAGGACAGACAGGAGAAATGAATCTTCATCCATTAGTTTGTCCCAAATTTTAATGGAGTTGCTTTACCTAAATATTGACTTCATGCTTACAACTTTCGAAGACGATCCGAGAAATATTATGAAGCAACATTCATGTAATGCAAATATTTCAAGTTATAGAAGCACAGATCAGACTCTAGACTTACCAGCTCTGAACTTCTTTCTGAATTCCAAAATTGAATATTGTGAAGGTAGATGGAAGGGCAATCCAAGAAACAAGAGCAATTCCAATTGTCATGAGAACAGTTGAGATTACAAGTTGCTTCTTCAACGCTGGCTCAATTTCTTTTACAGCCTTGACTTCAAAGAAATCAGTTGCAAATAAGGTCGTAAGCAAACACACAAGGATACCCACAGAACTGATTAGAAGAGGATATAGCATGGCTGTGAACTCATGGTTGACCCCAAAAGAAGAGATAGAAGCAACAACTAGGGCAGCACACGATGACTCTGCATAAGATCCAAATAGATCTGACCCCATCCCAGCAATATCTCCAACATTGTCACCAACATTGTCGGCAATAACCTAAAGCACATATTTAGCATTAAAACTAACCAGGATAAATCATAAACACATCTTGCATTTAAATGACACAATAAGCT